CACTCAGATTGCCTGTGGATCGATATTTTCTGTATCCCGAAGAGGGTCCCCCATAGCTGCTAGAGGCTGAGCCACGCCTCATTCTAGAACCTTCCAGAGCCAGGCTTGGTCGACGTGCCTCGTGTACATGGTATCCTTCATGGTAATTAAGGCCATTTCCTTGTGACCCATAAACTGTTATGTGGGGCAGTACCATTTGTAGCTTATACACATTACATTTAGCTCTTACACTATTTTGAAATCATATGAATGACATAATTCTTCTTTTCTTTTCTTTTGACTGGGGCAGCAATAAATTTGGAAAGTTCAAAGACAGTTGCTTCTCCCAATCAATAGATTCATTTCTTCATAAAATCAAACTTGCTTTATAATACATGCAAAGCACACATTAAATTAAGACCTACGTGAATCTTTCCTGGATTCTCCCCCACGGGCGATTGAGGAGTAACCAATAACTGAGGTGGGACGTCTGCCTGTGTGGCCTCGTTCCAGAGTGCGGGTCGTGCTGGGATAGTCTATTTGGTGGGGATAGAGGCATGTGACCGCCATAAGGAATTCAAAACAGGTACAAAAATATAGCAGAGAGTTATCCATACAAAGGGTACTCAATCCAGCTGAACAGGACATCAAACCCATTGCTGCTGGGTAATCACAGTGTCTACTGTAGATTTCTTTTGTAAATTTTGTTGGCATATAAACTGTTCTTCAAATGCTTAGCTACCAAAAAGCCATTAAGTAGGCCCTATTGATCGCACCATATTTCCTCTTTCCTTGAGTTTCCTAATGTTATTAATATTGATGTTATTAAAATCATTGACATAATGATTGTTTTAATGTTATCAAAAATAGACTTGCTAGCTGGGCCTTGCCACACCACACTCACAGCCACCCCACTGACTCTCATCCACTATGTAAGCAAATGCCAGGCAGAGGGATAGACTGCATACGAGGTGGGCCTTTCCACACTATAGTCACAATGCACCCCACCTTTTATACATTAAAACAAAGTTTGGGTCTACTAACAGCAATAAAGAATAAGAATTTAAAAATTCCAAAATCAGGGAAAAGGGTAAACAGGTGAGAGCTAAGACTAGTAATACACTCCTTGGTAATCAAACACTTGAGGAGCCATTATGTGTTAAGATAATTGATAAAAAAATAATATTGGACATAGCATTTATTCTTGCCATTTGGACACAATGAAATAATGAATAGTTTCATATATAATATAATGCCCAATAGAAAGGGTATTTCACGAAACTTGTATGAGTACCTTTTGCAGATGTAGCATTAAAACTAAGCAAACCATATGTAAGAACAACATCAATTAATATTACTAAAGCTATCAATATCAGTTTAATTACACCATTTCCAAGACCATTAAAAATTATAATAGCATTCAATACAATCAATTTCTCATCTAGGTCAAGGAATGATGTCAAGAATTACTGATTTTTACACAGTTTACCCAAAAGTGGATAACGTGCTTCAATCTAAATTTCATACTTCTGATCTACTGACTTAAAATAAAAATTAAATTTTAAAATAATGAAAAGCAGAGGGATGAGATGAAAAAAAAAAAAAGGCCAACATTATTTACAATTAATGGAATAGGGTTACCTCCAGCTAAACTGTTGGAAGAGCCACGAGACCCAGCTGCACGTGAGAGGGAGTGTGATGACCCCCAACGCCCGCTGCTCTTTCTCATGCTGCCATGGCCGCTGCTCTCGCCTCTCCTCCCAACTTCTACAACACGCACACACAACACCACACATAAGCAAATGTGCAGGTGCACACGACAAGCCATGCCAAAGTGCTGGCCTTCCCTAACATATGGCTTGAGATTATTGGCTATTCATCCAGTGAAAGGAAAGATAGGACAGAATGTATAGTGCATCACAGTGGATGAAGGGCCTAATAAAGCTGTAGAAGCAGTTTGCAATACTCTCCAACAAGCTTAGATCAACACTGCTATACACTGTGCTTTATAAAAAGATCACTGCACAATTATCCTAGATAAAGGCTTCTGAAATATTTAGTTTGCATGTAAGAATCAATTTTAACAATCATGAACTATTGAAAAGGTTTTGTAAAATGAAGACTTTTAGTCACTATAACAATCATGCTTGCATGCTAGTGCTAGTGGTAGTAACAACACATTTTTAAACTTACCCTTTTCCACTAACTTTTGAAAGCCTTTAGAATATCAACTGAATTCTTAAATTGCACTAAAGTAGCAGAGGAGGCAGTAAAACTATTCATACACCTACCCCCAGCTATGTTATGGGTGCTTCCTCTCTTTCCCTGGCTAGGTGAGAGAACTCCATCTGCACTATCTGAAGCAGAGGGCGCATGAGCCATTGTCTTGGGTCGGGGTTTGCTCCCTGCTGGCTTATTTCTCATACGCACAGACTGCTTCCCTGGAGCTGAACTTGGTGGGTCTAAGTTGAAGCCAGGAGGGGGTTCATAATAGCGACCCTGTGTACACCAAATTTGACAATTAGAAATGCATTGGGATGTTTCAGATATGTACATTTTTTTTATGATCTAAGTGTTAACGACATCAATGCACAGCATGCTAAGCAAAGCAATTACAAATTTTATCATGCATTTGTGTATCAAGAGACTTTCTGATACCAGAAATATTTCATGGTATAGTTCTGTAAATACTTTATGAAATATTTTAAGTTTATTTTAGTAAAAGGATTTAAGCTCATTGTGCACCAGTTCTATTAAGACATCAATGATCAGTGGTACCAGAACAAATACACATTCATATTCTATATTCCATCAAACCAATCTATTTTCATATATCTGTATGTGCTTTTTGTACCTCTTTCTCTGCCTCCTCCATGGCCTTTTTAATCTTGTATCTTTCAAGTATTACTTCTCGTCGGGCTTTCTCTTCCTCTTTCTTCCGCTGTTTTTCTTCTTCTTTCATCTTCTCTGCTTCCTTTCTTTCTTGTGCTTCCATTTCTTTCCTTCGTCTGGCCTCCTCTTGCTCCTGTTTGCGCTTCATTGACAGCATCATCAGCCGTTCCTTCTTCTTCTCCATCTCAGACACAGATGACTAGGGTAGGCAGTTTTGTATACAAGTTAAAAAAAATCATCTAACATAAAAAGCAGAAAATCTTTCTTACTTTGTATTTTAGAACATCACATCATCTCTCATAGAACAAAGATACCTAAACAAACTAATCCCTTATTGGATCAAGAAATCAAATATAATCACAATGATAACTACAACTACAACAATAGTGATGATGATGATGATGATGATGATGATGATGATGATGATGATGATGACGATGACGATGACGATGACGATGACGATGATGACGATGACGATGACGATGACGATGACGATGACGATGACGATAACAATAACAATATCAGTAATGATAATACTTAACCCATTGCCACCGGGGATGGCATGTACGTACATGCCATGCCCACTGTGAGTCAACTTGTTTGATTGTTTTTACACATAGATGGCTACACTTGTATTAAGTCACCAATGAGCCAATTACGAGTACCCCCTGTCACGCCCGTTCACCCTTTTCATCGATTTACAAAAATTTTTAACGTTATCCTAATTTGCTGTTAAAAATAACACCAACTATATTTATAGCACTAGTAAGAATATGTTTTTTCCTGCCAATTCAAGGAAATGTGAAATCAGGACTAGCAGAGCCATCTATGGATAGAGATATTTCACAAAAATATAAAACTATGAGTACAGCATTTTCCCCATGTTTTCATTTTCCCCGGCGGCAAAGGATTAACATTAACCCCTTGTCGACAGGCATGGCATGTACTTACATGTCATGCCCATTGTGAGTTTACTTGTTTAATTGTTTTTACACATAGATGGCTACACTTGTACTAAATCACCAATGAGCCAGTTACGAGTACCGCCTGTCTCGCCTGTTCACCTTTTCCCTCGATTTACGAAAATATTTAACGTTATCTTATTTTGCTATTACAAGTGTTTATAACATTTTAGTAATAATAATGTTTATAATAAAAATAACACCATCTATATTTATAGCACAGTAAAAATACCTTTTCCACACCAATTCGAGGGAAGGTGAAATCCTTTATGGCTAAGCACTAGCAGAGCCATCTAGTAACAGGGACATTTCACAAAAATGTAAAAAATGAGCACAGAATTTCCCCGTTGGGAAAGGGTCAAGATGATGATTGCTTGATTGATTAATGACTGATGATGATTGATGATAATGATGATGATAATAAGAATAATAAAAAATAAGAATATTTACTTGCATAAATGGTTCTAATGCAATAATTAACCATGTAGCCCTTACTATGAAAGATACAATGAAGTCTGTAATGAAATAACTGTGGGAAGAAACAAATCTCCTACAAAAATACATAGAAATATAATCACTGAAATTATCAAGAACAAAATGAACTAAAAACCACTGTTAATAATTCTAGAGCAAGAACTAAATACAGCAATGCTCAAACCCACTTATTAACACAGATTTTTGTTTATTCTAATACATTTGTGTTTTCATTCAGACATTTCATTTTTGGTCATATTCCCCTTTCAGTAATGAAACTTGCTCATTTTACTGCAACAACTTTCTTCACTACAATGGGTCCAAATAAGTAGGAATCACTGACTGGATTGGCATTCTGATAAAATGGGAAATTAAAAACAGTATCAAAATCAGTGAATTAAAACATTCATTTGTACTGGGTGAAACAAAAGTTTTGCCAACTCTTACAGTGCCATTAACTCAATGCTTCCAAGGTAAGTAGGTCAGGCCTTGCTAAGAATGGCCATCTCTCCAGGAACACATATTATGCCCTCATTTTCTCTTCTCAATTACCTTTCTACCTGACATCCTGACTTTGCAACAGATCAGAACTTGATCAGTATGTATATGGGATAAAAATGAGCACTCCAGTTGCAGGAGGCTGGCAAATGCTTATCAATACTCTGCAGTATGGGTCTTTTGTTATATTAGCTG